ACACTATTGTTAGCTCCAATCAATAGAAGTTGATCAAAAAATTCAAGTCAATTTTTGTCGTCAATTAGCATTTTGTAGAACAACATTGGACAAAAATTGGACCATCTTCAATTCATACATGTTATTTTATGATGAAATTTTGAATGCAATACTTTTAAATAACCCGGAAAATACATCAGAAATGGATGTCACATATGTGTTCTTGAAGAATCTGACGACACATCCTTGGTAGATTCAACCAATGGCCAACTTCACGTTCACACAATTTCTTAGTGCTTTCATAACTTCAAAAACTATGAAGCAATGCAGAAAAGCTCAGCAGCTCGTCCCTTTTATTCAATCCATGGACAGTTCGAGCTCGTTTTGATACGAGTCATGGGCCAAATAGGCTCGACTTATGAATATATGCAAGCTGGCACGTGGGCAAGGCCACGAGCTAACTCGCGGCTTGTGGGCCACCAACAATCATAATTATGATTGTTTAGCACCAATGGTCATTTACTTTTATTTTTCTTTTTAATAGAAAAAGGTCAGATTTTTTCTATATAAACTCCACTCCACTCCACTTCATTTCTCCAACAATCTCTACCTTATCAATCTGAAATTGTTACTCCATTTTAGCTCTTTAATTTCCAATCTGAAGTTATATTATTTTTAAATTTGCTTATTTGAGTTATTTATGTTTAATTCTGTCATTATACATCCGTCTTACATATAACATTTCAAATGGATTACAACATATACTTAGAAATTGATGAATTCAACCAATTCTTTGGTGCTTTCAACACTCCATAAACTCATTTCGCCTTTAAATTATAATTTCAGTGTTCTGAATAATGTTTCAATTTTCAGTGTTCTAAAACAATGTTTCAATCCCTAATGATTTTGGTGATGACCATAGTAGTACGAGCACACTTGATTTGATATTCATGAAGAAGACGAAGAAATGGTAACAGTAGGCTCAAACAAATAAATGGTATCGAGAACACTTCAAACTAGTGGACATGAGTGTTGTAGTAGACAGACAGTCATAGCACAAAGCATTGCGTAAAATAATGCAGAGAGAAGTTAGCTTGGCTTTGGCAAATGGGTTTCAATACAACCCATCTCAATAGATACTACAAAATATGTGCAGTCGAGGTTTGGAAAGTAGTCGGTGCAACTCCAGTTTGATTCTCCTGGTGCATGTTCTAGTACCGACTTAACAACTGTGCCGATTCACAAAAGAATAAACAAAAGGCTGTATTATTTTCGTTAGTTTCAATAACGGGCCCTAGGTTCAAATTAGAAGGTATAAACATATTGTATCCACAATTTCGAATCAATTGACATATGGATCTCCAGTTACACATGGTAGTCTGTAGAAAAGTTTATCAAATAGGATCTCCAGTTACACATGGTAGTCTGTAGAAAAGTTTATCAAAGTTGTATCAGCTATACGTCCAACAAATTTGGTAGAAACATTCAACGTCTTCGTACGGCAAGAGCCAACAACTATTTATAGAGCTACTTAGTTATTGTAAAAGCACTCAACTATCTAAGAGCGGAAAATGCTCTTATGCTAGGCCTGTAAAAGGCCTGGCAGTGTTGAGCACTCACATGAGGTGGATCCTCGGGGACCCACCTCATTAAACCCCCCCCAAATGTTAAACACCCACCCCTTATCTCACAATTTGCTCTGTCAGGCCTTTTAGCAGCATGGTCCATCTAATAGCTCTTCTTTCCTTACCCATGCTACAAATATTGGTATAGGTGAGATACATTAGTAGTAGTACAAAGCACGCTTTAATGAGGAAGAAATAATTTTTTTTTGAAATACTTAGATGGTGAAAATTGAAGGAACATCAATATCCAATTGTATTTATTCTAGCACATGATATACTAACACCTTCGATATCTACCTTAACATCGAAGTTTTCTTTTAGTGCCAGTGGCAAGATTCTTTTTCATTACGGATAAGACTGAAAGAAGACATAGTAGAGAGCATATTTAAAGCTACATATCTAAAATAAAGTGGAAAAGACTAAAAGCTAAAGATTTTCAAGTTTTTGACTTCATAATTTGTAAGTATTAATTATGTTGATTTTCTTTAATTTTGTTTTTACTTCTCAAAAAATTTATATAATCAAAATATCTTATTCGTGTCCAATTTTAACTCTACCTACATTAAAAATAATCGATCCGAAACCACAAGAAAGGAGGCTTTCAAATTTCTCGTAACGTATTTCATTTCGATTTTTTGAATTTATTTTATTAGTCTTCAAAAAAAAATCCAAACGACACGACCCGATCCATAAGATACACAAATCAAAGGACCAAAACAAACCTACTTTACAGACACGAGCCAAGCTCAGCTGCAACCAATAATTTGAAACATTTACTAACATGCAAATTTCAAGTGGTGACAAATTTCCATGAATCCATGGTCACTGATTTTGGCGGCCAATGGCAGATGTCGAACCACACTCTTTTACAATCCTAGAAGATAACACCACAATTTGTAGAAATTGCATTTACTTCACCACGAGTTGCTTGTATGATGAATATTTATGTATACAATCCCCAAAGGTGTGTCGTTAAATGGGCTTTCTCAATCCTGAACAAGGAAAGATCACACGTTTTCCTGGCACGAGGCTTCCTCTGCCATGAAGAATAGGTTGGCCCACTCCAACACCATTATCATATTAAGAATGAGAAA